GAACTGCTGCTGGATATCAGGTCAGGGATATGAGCCTTCCCCTCGGTAGTTAAAGTGGCCAGGCCTCGGTTAATCTGCGGGGAGGCTTCTCTGTTGTTGTGGATAGAGCAACGAGGGTAATTGATAAGTGGCTGCTTGGGAAGGAAACCTCCATAATTAAATAGAAATTCGTCAGCTCTTTCACTTGAGCACGCTGTGGATGTGGTGGTGCTTCCAGTCTCCATGGCAACTGCAGGATGCTGGTCTAAATTTGAAGAGGAGATGCAGAGTTGGATGTTTAATTTTCTGATAATGGTGGATAGCACACAGTTGGGTTCAGGGCAGCCTTCAGCCATCTCCTCAGCGTTTATCTAAGCACGAGTGGAAATGTATTTTGCCGTTCAATGTCATGATGGTCTATTTTGAAGCACCCTCCACTTTTTCTCATTGAATCATGGTCATGAAGATGGATTATTCTATTATGAGCCCAATCATTTGACAGAAAATATTATGCTACTCAATTTCCTTTACTCAAAAAGAAAAGGAGCTCATGCAGTTTTCTCTTTTCTTTTCTTTCTTTTTTTGCCAACAATCAGTTTTAGGCCTTTAACACAGCTGCTGCAGGAGGTATGCTTTATAGTCTCTGACAGAGGCACCAGAAGAAGCTCCAAAGTAAAATGTTAATAACATAAAAATGAATCGTCAAGTTTAAAGAATGATCAGCAGAACAGGCTCACACACAGCACAGCAGGAGATACACAACAAAGTCTAATTTTACACAGATACAGCTGTTTGTAGTCACAAAGGCTTTTCTGTCTTCAGGTTACAGTGGTGTTTCACGGTTTGAAATATCAAATAGAAACAAAGAGTAACAACAATAATGCCTAGTTAATCATAAAAGTACAAATAGAAGCACACGAGAGGAGGAACAAGGGAAGAGGATTGAATATCAAACAGAAACATGAGCCCTACAGCAACACAGGTAGAACATTCAATTTGTTCAGCATACATGGATCCCCCCCCTAACTTGTGCTGCTTTATAAAGTGCGATCATACAGAAAATAATTGCTAACCAGTAATGGATAAACAGTGTCACGCTCGAACATTATGTCCAGCCAGATCATTAAACTTCCATCCATCGGGGTCACAGGGGGCTGGAGAAGATGCCAGCTGCTGTCATTGGGCGAGAGGCGGGGTACACTCTAGACCGGTCGCCCGTCAACCACAGGACTTCATTAAACTTTAATACATAAAAAAAAAAAGAGAACTACTTCTGCTTGCTGACAGAAAACACTTCACTGTTCAACGTAAGAAAAAATCATCCGCACACAAGCTACTTATTAAAAACAAATGACTGCATTGCTGTGTTATACTTCATTCTGATTGGCCTATCAGCATAGTAACGGTCATCCATTCCTTGATAGCAAAACTTGAATAAGAATAATCCAATACTAAGAAAAGCATATGGTTGCTAGGGATACGGCTCCTTAAACAGACGCTGGTGGACTAACTGTGGTCATATTAATCTTTGGAAAGAATTCCGGTTATTTTTTTTGGTTTACTGTGGGAAGAGAAAGGAGACGATAACCTCAGTGAAAAGAGGTGATGATGTTAAAACTGAAGACTGACGGAGAAATAAAAAGAACTGAAGATGGCTCATGAAGAAGCCTAAACAGGCCATGAAACGTGGTTTGGGATACGGTGGTGTTTAAAGACTGGAGAACAGAAAAGAAAATGGTCAGGGTGCTGCGCCGATTCATGCGGATCTGTTCATCTGGTCTCACTTGTTCAGTATAATAAGATTAATATCAGTGGGAAAATTAAAAGTGAGCAGGTTGTTATAACAAAGACAACCCTATCTAGGTTAGATTCTTGGATGAAAAACCACTCACTATACATTGTCCCTTCCATTTTGCCGGCATCCCTCAACCAAGATGTATTCACATAAGAAATAGACCAGTATGATTGCAAATCCATTATAATGACTATTGACAGGCACTGACCGACCTCCAGGCATAATTAAAAGTCTCAATATTTAGAGGGGGATGTGCCCAGGTCGCCCATCATAACAAACCGCTAATGGACAGTCATGTGTGAAACCCAAACAGCTTGAAGGATTGGAAAATTGCTTTTATTTTACCACATCTTTGCAACAGAAAAATCTCGGAGATTTTGCACCAAACTGTTTCTTTTAAACAAAATTACTACAATGAATTTTGTGAGCAGCATTTTTGGACAAAAGCAAAGCTGTTTTTAAATGTGAGGATATATGGAAGGGAATCTAACGAAGCGTTTGATTTACCTCAGAAGTTTGATAATGGAGTTGGGAAAGACTTCACAACTGCTATCCAGTTACGAGTGGGAAAAGCAACATGGACGCCTCCAGGAGTACCTTTGTTTTAATTGACACATGCAACTCTCCCCAAAAACTTTGGGGGGAGATCTTTAGGAGTTTTGTGCATGTGTGAAAGCACTATATTTCCATAAAGTTATTCCTTGTTGCTTAGAACAAAACAACGACTTACACATGTAAAGGACAAGATCAGCAAAAAGAAGCACCACGTTATCCACAGAGGGAGCCTAAATCACCATAAACCAAAAAATCCTCACAGGAGCTTTAAGATAAACTTTAAGTTGTTGAAATGATGCTGCTCCTGACTGCCTTTGGTCCAACCGTATGTTTGACGAGTATAGTGAGGCTTTCGTTATATTGTTTGTGGTTTAAGTTGTCATTAGTATTTAGTCACCTGTCTCCAGTTTCTGTACTTCTGTAAGTTGTTTTCAAATGATATTTTGTCAGGTGGAGGACCAGTAATACACTGCAAATAGATGAACTCTAATGAAGGTGTGATTGTGAGCTGTGTGCTGACAATAGAGTGATTGATTGTTTCATTCAATTCAATTCAATTTATTTTAAACTCATAACAAGTGTTATCTCAAGACACTTTACGGCCTGTTCTGGCAGGCCGTCAACCAACGATCTTGAGGAGCCTAAGAGAGCTCAAGAGCTCTCAGGAAAGTAGGTGGTTAGTGACTGAGATTTACAGATAGATATATGCATTAATATGATGTGCTGTATATGCACAGAGAGAGAGAGAGAGAGAGAGAGAGAGAGAGAGAGCGAGAGAGAGAGAGAGAGAGAGAGGAGCTCAAGGTGCCAGTTTAGTGTCAGGGAGTTGTCAGGGAGAAGACGTGTAAAGTAATGAGCTCTGAAACGTTACATAGATGATAATGCCTGAGGGCTTGAACATTATGAGGAATTAATTGATATCTTGGAGGACACAATTTAGTCTGGCGGTTGCCGCTGCAGAGTCCATCAATTCCTGATTATGGACATCTCCTGGGATGTTATCCCACTTATACCATGCCAATCAACCCCCCCACCCCAACCAATTGTGTTTTCTGCATTCTGAAATGAAATCAACTTATTACCAAACAATATTCCTAGCTTCCCTGTCAACACCTGAGGGTCTGACTAGTTCCATCTTATAAGGCTCTTGTGCAGTGGAAACGTTGCACAGAACAAATCTTACAATGCGGCATGGCAACAGGAAAGATTTGTCGTCTGCTCAGCTCATATGACATTTTGGTTCTGAAATAAGCCAGAAAGCTGAAGAGCATTATTTTTTTTTAAATGTGTTGAAATTAAGTCAAGTAGTTAAAATTAAGTACAAAAATGTTTAAAATATCTTAAATTCCTGTGAGACTATAGCTATCTATCTAGATGTACAAATTCTCCCAAACTCCACTTTAAGATGTTACATGATCTAATTTAAGGTCATAACTGTTTTGAGTTGAATAGTGAATGCAGTGTAAATGGTATCCTATGTAATGAAATAAAAGGGGCAGTGTTTTTCTTGCAGCTTGCTGCCCTTAGCTTTCAGAGGTCATTAATATGTTGCAATAGATTTAAAACTGCATCATGTTTCCCTGGTTTATTATTTTTGATACAGGCCAACACTAAACTGTATAAACAGCTCACTGATTAAGAACAATGATCACATGGTTTCTCCTGATTTACTAAGTGGGTGTCCATTGTCAGGAATGGACGAACACCCTGCAGCAAATCAGAGCAACAGAATATAACAAGTCAGTGGAATACAGCCTGTTAATGTTCTGACGGCAAAGGTCAGAGGTTGTGCTCGTTTAGGTCATCAAGCTAAAAACTCCTTTAGGCCATGAGGATATTATTGGCCTGTCAGTATTTATGTGTAACACCTGGATTCCTCTGCTTCTTTGTTATTGTCAACAACAGAGTGTTGAAATATTACTAAATGTTTCTACGCTCACACTGAAAACAAAAGTGACCCTAATCAGTTTTTTGGCTCATATGTGACTCGGATCTGTTGATTAAAAGACAGTTTAAACAGCACAAGTCTCATTTCAAAGCAGATTTGGGTAAACCTCATATCTGGTCCGAAATCAGGTTTCGCTGATCAGACTGTGACGTCACTCTTTACTGACACAAGTCAAAGGCTGTGTCAGGAGGCCACGTCCACTACATACTTGAAAGATACATACTGCATGCTAACCTGGTTGTTAGTGTGCCATTAGCAACATACTTAAACAAGTAGCACACATGCAAGTACGTGTCGCGCTGGACAGAATAGAACAACCCCGACAGGAAGTCCGACAAGGAAACGCACAGATCACCCAGTCAATTTCAAAATAAAACCCCATATACGGACTCACCGTGATATTTTCCATCACTTTATCAACATTAAGTCAAAACAGGCACCAAATGAACAACAAACCAACCTCAGAAGGACAAAGCAACATGTTGTTTGCACGTTTTTCGTGTCTACGTCTACGTGATCTTGTCGTTCTCCTGTGATTGGTGTACAGCTGATCATGGCTCCACTCTGTGCTCACAAATTCCAGAAACGGACCCAGTGGGGCAGGTCGGGCGCCATCTGACGGAGCAAACCGTGAAGCATGCTTTCAGTTTACTTTTGAAAAACACCATATTGCATGTGACTTCTTTGTTGTCATTCTTTTGCGCATGCGGGCCAGTTCACACAGGAATCTGATACTGCCAAGTAATATGAAAGCCCCCCTTCCCCCCCAAAAATGGATCTGAGCTTTCAATCCAATTGAACATTAAAGAAAAAAATGCAACAATAAGAATATTTTTTGTGTAACTGACTGTATTAAACATCCGGAAACGTTACAAAGTATCATCAATCTGGGCAAAACTGTAAATACAGGCTGATGAAAAATAAACAAGGAAACATGGTTTATTCCACGTGATGGGAAGATGAAAATGATCTAAGTCATCCTCACTCTTTATTCAAACACTGAATTCAATTGTTTTTATTACATTTTTTATGTTGCAATTTATGAGAACCAATCAGCTTTTGCTTTTGGATGTTTATTAGTTCAAATATTAACTTGCACACCCTTGTCAATGTTTCTCATGAAAAACGTATTCTGTACATTTCTGACATTCTTGCCATGAATAACATGATTTTTTATTTTTTTTTAAATGATGAGAGTTTAAAGATATTATGTTCACCAGCAGAGATGCAGCACACATTATTAAAACAATATGCACGAATGCGTCATGCTGCAAAAGTGGATTTTCTTTTCCTTTTACTGCACACAGATAGTCAATATTTATTTTCTTGATGCTTGGTTCAGACGGTAACGGCAATCAACCCACAAGCAAATTGATGAATATGTAAACCGAGCACAAATCCATTTGTAAGAATTGGATTGTTGTCTCTCTTCCCTTGTTTCATTGTTTTTCCTTTTTCATTCGAGCCACATGAGTTCAAAGCATTGTGATAAAAATATTAAAATCCAAAACATATAAAGATAGCGCAAAAGCTAACAGGCACACCTTAAGGACTTGGTTACTGTGGCTGGAGCCAAATTTTGTTCAAATGCAAAAGCTTTATATACTATCTACAAATTCACATTTATTGACTTTATCTTGTCATGTTGTTTTATGTCGCAAAGAATAGCTTAACAAACTGTACAACATACCCTTTATCCTTACACCCTCCTGTGTTTTATCCATTACCACATTATTCAAAAAGCTATTTTAACATTAATCCTAACTGTGGCACATTTTGACAGCAAGTCAACACATATATCAAAGTATTTCCACATGAGAACAAATCCTGATAAACTGCACATTATTACCTCTGCCATGCCTCATCTGGTATGCAAAGTAAGACAGCGTCCATTGATTGATGTCTCCAATCTGCTTGGTTTCACGATCAGTCAGAGTAAATAAATGACCCAGGACAAATTACTCTTCTGGTTTATGCCACTCAGTGTGTCTTAAATGTGACACCGATATTCAGTGTGACAGATGACAGGCGCTTCACTCCTTTTACATGCAGATCAATAATCTCCTTGAAGCAGTTTGTTGACACCTGGACGCCCTACACCTCCAGTTGCACAGCGATGAAGAGGTGTTCTTTGACTTTTGATCTGTATTGACTGACGAGCTGATGAGGGGGAGTGTTGAGGCTGCCAATGGAACTCTTAAGTAGCAGGTTCATCTCTTTAGTGATTCTGCTCAGAGGCTCTCTGCAGGCTTGACACAACCTATGAAAGTCAAGTAGGGGAGCAGAGAGGAAGTCCGTACATGAAAAAAAGGTTGAGTGGTTTAAGAATATTCTGGATTTTCCATCTGACACAAACCCCCTACAAAAGAGGCTTGAACAGGACTTCATCTGATTTACAACACGCATGTTTCAATCCATGGAACATCGAGCCCTAATTCCTATTCCAACACTGAAAAACTTTGTGTTCGGCAAACTGAACTCATTGACGAGCCTTTGAGTATTGTCATTAGAGTCAGCAGCTCATCACTACAGATACAAAGCACCACACTTCTGTTGTGGTGCAGACAATTAAATGTTAATCAGATGACGATCACAGTGAGCATGTGAACGTGCGACGGGACATCCAATGCTCAGGGACAAGATGTAAGGCAAATTCATTTTGGCTGCAAAAGACGGCTGAATCACAAAGTGTAGCTCATGCCTTATGCTCTGTGTATAGATTGGTTGACATTGTTTTGAAAAAATACTATGCCACAATTCATCATCCAGCTGTCGGTGGGTAAAGGTGGTGTGGTTCTGCTCTGAAAGGCTTGTTAGTTTCACGTTGATATAAAAGATACATCTCTCTGGTGATGATGTTACAAGTTGTTAAAATCTCAGTTGTTACTCTGAATAAACAGGCGAGTTTTCTTTTGAAGAAGTTCTGAACATTTGTTGTAAACCACTTCTTCCTTTTGTTGCAACTTTGTCACTCTCTCCACACGTCTTTTTATTTTTCAATTCAGTCTGAAGGATGGAGTCTGAGTGCTGCATTCACTGCTTGACAAGACAGACGCCTTCAGATGGTTCTTTGTCCTTTTATCATCATCAAAAAAGTCCAGTACTCTTGTAGTGAGGTGCTTTGGCTAGACAAATGAGCTGGATACTTTTGGTTCATATTCCTGCTTTAGAATTTGGACTTTCTCTTAGTGCTTTCACCACATGTTCTGCCACTGCCTTTGTAAGACGTTACATTTCCTGCGAGAACAAAGATTCCACTTTGTTTTCAGGACTCTAATAGAAAAGAGCAGCATCAAACTTAGTTTTCATTACCTTTAGCCATTCCTTTGAGTCCTTTTCCTTTTTATTAGCCCGATCAGAAAGAACTTGCAGACTCATACTCTTGAAACTTTTTTTTTCTGTCATAAAGGTTTTTCAAAACTCTGTTGTGGAGATCTGGGTGACCTCAGATTGCAGATCTTGCTGGATCCTCCTCGAGCGAGAGCTGTGGGGGACCCGGTCCATGCCTAGTCATGCGGGCTTCTTCCCTGCTTCTGACGGAGCACAGACGGACACAGGCTCCCTGGTGTTGTTGCGGCCTCTGGCCAGACTGTGCTGCTCCACGCGGGTCCTGCATGGGAGGCAGAAATCCCTGAAGCATCTCTTAAAGTTTTCATCCAAAAATGCATAAAGGACAGGATTGAGGCTGCTGTTGGTATAGCCCAAGGCGATGCACAGGTGCCAGCTCGCAATAACGAAGGGGTTCCTGCTGTCAATCTCTACCATAGTCTTCACGATGATGAAGATGTGGATTGGGGTCCAGCAGATGATGAAGGCTGCAACAATCACCAGGACCATGCGGGTAATTCGGCGCATGTTGCGGTCTTTCTCTTTGGACCCTGAAAGCAGTCGGACGCTCCTCAGACGCAGGATCATCAGGCCGTAACATATGGTGATCACCATCACAGGAACCACAAAAGCAAAGATGAAGACACAGATCTTTGTCACTGTGTCCCAGTACCAGTCAGGGTCTGGGAACTTCAGCATGCACATGGTTTTACCTGGAGAGAAGGAAGACAGAATAAGAAATACTTAGGGTTACAGTAACAAGCTTGTTTGGACAGGATACTTGTTTCTTTAACAAGGGCTTAAGACAAAAAATATCTGTACACACAAAAGATTGCAAGAAACCAAAATACTACAGTTTTTGCAGCTGTGCTAATGAAAGACTTTAAAGAAAGTATTGTGTTTTACAGTGTTTTTTCTTTGGCTGTGGTTTTAACAATCCAAGGCTAATGTACGAGGGCTTTCTGTCAGCCCAAACCATAGACTGTAAATACTAATGGACGAAACCTGAGTGATGTCAGCTATCTGTTACGGCAGGGGGTTCCGGAGGCTCGTAGGCAGCAGCCGCCATGCTAGAAATCCAGTCTCACCCAAACTTTTAGTCAACCTAATGACAGGCTGAGAGCTGGAGCTGAGGTGCTGAGGAGACCGGAGGTTGCAGCTTGGCCCTAACATTTTTTAAAAAGCTTCTATATGAAGCAATGCCTGTGAGCTAGTTCAATCAACTAGAGCGGCACCTGATTTCACACTGACACACTGCGTCATCCTCCACAATTTCCTGACACATTCGTCCACCCACTTTGCGGTTTAGGCTGCAAGATTTCTTCTCTCTCTCTCTCTCTCTCTCTCTCTGCTCTGTCATTGCCAGCTATGCCCTGCACCAGTGCTTCACTCTTTAGTCCCAACACCACTCCAGCATTCGCTCTGGAGGGTTAAAGATATTTCCTTATCACTCCTCAAATCCCTGCATGTAACAAATGTTTTGTTGCTGCAATAAACATTTCAAAACTTTAGAAAAATGAGATATCAGACTGAATTACTTATATTGTGCCCAATCACAACAAAAGTTATTTAATGAAACATAACATTAAGGCTCTGCTCTAGATGATTCCATTGGTAGTATTTGATTAGCAAGCACTTTGCTACAGCAAGAGGTAAAACTTAATCAAAAGTTGGCAGAAACCATAGACTCATGGGCCTGTCCTGACAGATATCTCATATCAGTAATCTGGATATCTTCTGGCTACACTGGAAGTCCTGAATTAGTGAATAATTAGTGAATTTTGCATAAAGGGAACATACTGTATTATGAAAAGTCCACTTTGACAGTGTTTTTGAACATATATTTGTCTACTGACCCACAAAATATGAAATAAATCCATCTAGTACTTTGTTTGTGGTCTGCATAAGTCTCACAACACAGAGAAAAATGCTCTGTTTCAAATTTGCTCAACTTGTGACATCACAGTGGGATTCTGGTAAAAAACAAAATACCCTCCTCTACCCTGATATCTCCACCCATGGACTTCCCCCCAGCCTAGAACAAAACTTTTGTGCAGGTCTGCCATTTCAATTCTTGCTACAGAGGAGTGATGTCTACCGTGAAAATTCAGGGGGTGCTCATTGTATTTAAAGAGACACACACACCAAAACGGCGCGTTCTGAGAGAGCTGGTTTATACAGGGTCACAAACCTCCTCTGGTGCTTGATTCATGTTATATTTTGACCAAAGCTCAGCACAAACGTTTCATTTAGACCACAGGGGACTGTTTGAAAAGGTGGAAAAGGGGGACAATATGTCCTCTTTAAAGCTAAACTAAACTTAAAGTAATCTGTTAATTGTCTCCGGCTGCAGTTATGTATGCACACAACAAAAACAAAGGTGGTTGTTAGTGGAAAAGTAAAGCGCTGTAATTTCTTCAATTTACTGACATTAACCCCAACATTGTTTTTAACTTTTTTTTAAAACTAAGTGGAACAAACGTACCAGTCTGCTACAATGTATAGCCTAGCTTCCTTTCCTGTACTCCTGCCATTTTCTCAAAAGAAGGGCTGAGCTGGCCAACATTTCTTGAGGGTATTATAGTTACTGTTGACAATACAACTACAAAAACACTGAACTATCACTTTAAGGGAGATTCTGATGAACATAGACATAATACATTTGGACGTTGGGTTAGTTTTTCTGAGTCAGTGATCCGGGCAGGACAACATCGTTTAATTTTCAAGGATTCATTCAAACAGTTTTTTGAGTTATCAAGGATTACTTGAAAAGTAGATGAGCTTGATCATTTGAAATAATCAAGACAAAACATATGCATCACAAAATACACTAAAGAGACATAGGAGATTTTAAAACTCTAGTCATTCATGCATTTACCTTCAAAGTAAGTACTCTGAACTACAAATAAAAAGAGAGTAGTATAAAAACAGTATTATTTGGGGTTTCAATGGAGGGTTTGTGGTTTCAGGGGTCTAAGTGTTCCAAATGCTATTTCTCTGGCTTTGTGAATCTTCAATGTCTGTCTGATGCGAGGCTGCAACTCAATTCACCATCAACATTTTACTTGATTTTCCTTTTTGTCCTATGGAAACTCTGATGAAAAACCAGACTCTTGGCATAATAAAATCTAATTACGCTGATCAAAGCCTGTTGAAGGTCTTTTCTTGTACGAAGAATGAGCCATACAGATTCAACTCTGGGTAGTCCTGCTAGTTCTGGAACAGATATTTACAACAAACTAAGCCTTTAATTAATAATAAAAGATTGAAAAGCAGAAAAAAAAAGCTCTGTCTCACCATTATCTGACACTTTGGTCACAGCCATGAACATAATAGGCACCCCAATCGCTGAGGACAGGACCCAGATGAGCACGTTGATCATCTTGGCCTTGACGGGCGTGCGGAACTCCAGCGCCCTGACCGGGTGGCACACAGCGATGTAGCGGTCCACGCTCATCATGGTGAGGGTGAAGATGCTTGTGAACATGTTGTAGTAATCGATGGCAATTATGAGCTTGCACAGGATTTCTCCAAACGGCCAGGTGTTCATGAGATATTTGGCACTCTGGAATGGCAGCGTGCTGGTGGCCAGGGCGTCGGCGAGGGCCAAGTTGAAGATGTAAATGTTAGTGGCCGTCTTCATCTTGGTGTATCTGGTTGTGTTAACAGAGCAGAGAAGAAGTGTTGGCAGTAAGTAGCAGCAGTAATGAGAGCAGCTGCTTATGGAAGTCTCTGTTATGGAATACGGGGATTGGAAAGTGATATGTGCAGCATGATTTTATGGCTTACATAGCGAGAGATAATTCCCTCATGCTTTAGTTATGCAATGTACAGCACCAAATGTCTAATGCTAATTCCTCACAGATTACTTTTGTTTTTCTAAACGGGTGATTTGAGATAATGGTTACGATTGGCTTGTTGGCCTCTGATCAAGCAGCACTACTTGCACAGAAAGCACCAGAGACTTTGTGCTAAGAAAATACTAACGCTATTAAAAAAGGTTTATCTATATTTTATGTGCTGGACTGACTTTTAGCTTAGGCCTGTGCATTTTTTGTTGTATGTGAGATGAAGATATAAAAAAAAAAGATATAAAAAACAGTAATTTTCTCCCTGGGGAGCACAAGACTTAGACTCTTCTCTGCTCTTATCAGAGCCCTCAGAAGATATGTATATATTTACATACAGCTTCATTAGTTTCCCAAGAGACAGCAGGGTTTGCACATCATTACATTTGAATACAATCAGACTTAGTGGACAGCCTAAAGGCACAAAGAACCAGGGAAAGTTTAAAATGTATTAAAATATTCTGTTTTGGAATAGAGTATGGATACATCAAGCTCACACTATATGGAATCAGACAAACTTATCTTCTGTTCTAGTTTGTGTTCCTGAATCATAAAGGATTGCATGAATGCATTAAAGCTATTGTTTTTTTTTTAATGAGGAAAGAATAAAAGAAATAACAATCACAATATTGGTACATTCTTAGTTGCTCTGCTCCGTGGGGAAAGCAACCAACCAGATTGATTTATATTAGTTTTTCTTCTGCTCACACAGTCAATAGCCCACAGTGAAAGGGGTCAAAGGGGTCTTTATGGTGGTACTGTATGAGGGCTATATATTTTCAGACACATCACAGATACTCTTTTCATCCTGCACTTCTTTAAGAATCTTTTGTGATGCTTTTGTATTGTGAACTTTTTTAACCAAACGGATTGGTATACATTACATAATCAACCTGATTATGGGTCTGACTCCCCACTTCAAGCATTCCCAAGCAAAGTCCCAAATTAGGAATGTTTCTAAAGATTATTTTATGTAAAGATTATTTTGGCTGATTTTTCTGTGCTGTATGATTCTTAGGAGTGATCTGATCTGCTGGGAGAGACATCTTGAGCACCCAATTGCAAATCATACATATTAAAAATGAATAATATTCTCCAACTGATCTCCTGTTGTTTGGGGAGAACCCTGAGGACAGCCGAACATGCACTTTGTGAATTGTCAGGATTGCCAATTGGGAAGCTGACTGAAGAAAGAAGTACAGCAAATCATTTTATTTCTCACCTCCAGGCTAGATCCCGTTGTTAAGGTTACAGAACGCTCGCGCAGAAGTGCTCAAAAGGAGCTGAAGTCAGCGCTTTTTTTCTGAAAAAATAAGTAAAATGTGAACACAGCCTAAAGGAGGAACTGCAGTTATTTGCACTTCCGCATTGGATCATTTTTCAACACCAGAGGTTGATACTTGCGTACTGTTTGGCGCATGTTATCCCCTACACTATCCCACGATTTCCTGGCTCTCTTCAACTGCCCTTTATAACAAAGACCCAAAAGCCCTAGACTGAAGGCGGAAAGTCTGCTTTATGAGGAATAACTTTCAAAGGACAGCAAAGCATGTCCTCTCTTGTTTCATATGGAGTTTTTAAAGATGTAGTGTCTGAACTACTAAGGGAAGAAAATTGCAACTGTTTTAAAAGTGAATATTTCTGCAGGACACCCCCAGCATAACATTTATATCTCCTGTCATTTTGCAATCTTCAGTATAAAGTATCTTTCTTTGCTAACAAAGCTCTCATATCATGTTGTCATGTTTTAGTGATGCACACTGAATTGGCCCAAAAAAATGTTTTGATGTTTTTTTCTACACTACCTTTTTTTTTTTTTACAATTTGTATTTTTAATTATTCCGTTTTCTATCCAACACAACCAAAGGAGAGAAACTAGAGACAGACATACCAGTACTTAAAAGACCACCTGTCAAGCATTAAACTGGAAACCGCATGAGACCCACAATGGATTGAAGACATTGATGTTTATTCTATTAATTTCAGTAGACTTATTTCTATTACACTATCCTTAAATGTTTTGGATTTATTCACCATGTAATTCATCTCAGCTATGAGTAAAACAAACAATTTATGGAAAGGCAAAAATAATTTCATGTTTGTAAAATTGGGTCCTCCTTTCAGCTTTCTTGTTGCCAGTCAGAATTTCCTGAGCTCTCAAAGATCAGATTAGCATCTTAGCAGGAAATGCGCTAATCAAGAGCTTAATTGATGATCTCTATCAGATTTTGTCCATTGATATATTTGTGACTTATTCATGTGGACTGAAATATTGCGCTATGTAATAATTCAGCTTGATGTGAATATTCAAAGTCTGATGTCAAAGAGTCTCATCAGTTGTTCCATTATTCACAGATGGATCCAACATCTGCCTCTACATAACGTCATTACTACTCTCTGCGTCTCTTAAGGTCAGGGGAATCTGGTTCAAACATACAAGTTTAAAATGAAATGTCCAATGCAGACATAACCTTTATAAATTGTATTTCAGTGTGGAGAATAAGCCTTTTGATGCCAAAGCAGGAAAAAATCCAGGTGTAATTTATTACACAACAAATGGCTGCATTCCGTTTAGGAGTGCTATTCCCAGAGAGCTGCTATTATGTACACTGGATCAATGGCATGGCTTACTGGGACACATAAATGAAACTAAAGCCCCATTCTTACTGCATTTATTTATCCAGGGGGTAACAGATTGGCCTATTTTGAAACCAATATGGCAACAGAAAAATGAAAAGAATAGGAGGGGAGTACACCAGTGTTGGAAAGAAGCTGACAACAGTAAGAAAAATGATTTGGGGAAAAATAGCTGCACACTCGTCGCTATGGAAAAAAGTCTCAATAATTTACTAACGTTTGACAAGACAAGTCTTGTATTTGGCAATTCCCTAAAGATACCATGATACACTGAAGAAGACTGCCACATTGAAGTTTGGTAAATTATTAAAACTCTATGGCTCTGATTGTGAAATCTTCCTCTTAACAACAACTTGAAAGACACAAGGAATGCAAGACCCTGTAGGAACTCATCGTATATGCTGTTGTGATGTCAACCACAGGTAGGTATAAGTTATTTTTCTCTGAGCTGCTTCTTTATTCCACTTTTGGTTTCCACTCTGGTAAGGTTGAACAATAGAAAGTATGACAAACAACCTATTTCCTATGATGCCATTTACCAATCAATCAATCAATCAATCATTATTTGTATAGTGCCGATTCATAACAAGTACAAGCTCGTTTCATTACTGCTGACAAGGCCATCTGTTTGAACCTATGGTTTTTTTCACACCAATGGGACGTTGTGTAAAATGTAAATGAAAACAAAATGTGATGATTTGCAAATCATTGTAACCCCGTATTTCATTGAAATTAGCACAAAGACAACAAATTAGATGTTGGAAATGAGAACAGTATTATTCTTGAAAAATGATATACACATTTCCAATTCATTTTCAGGAAACCATTTTTAAAAAGTTTTGACAGGATATGTTCACCACTTTGTAGCATCACTCTGTCAGAATGGGAAATTTGTTACCATTCGTTATTCATTTAGGGTTTCAGCTGTTCAACAGTTCGGGGTTTCATAAGGTGACAAACATTTTCAATGGGTGACAAATCAGGATCTCAAATCTCTATTTTTTTAATCAAGACAAACGGGAAAGAGAGAAGACAGCAGCAGATGGCTGGTGTTGAAATGCTCTTGTTTTTTTAATCCTAATCCGATGCCTTTATTAAGTTTGCTTACTGCAAAGCAGAGCCTTGATCTTGCGATTACGTACTTATGTAAGGGCTGTTTGTAAAGCAAGCATGATATTTGTTTGTAACTCTTGGAAAACACAAAATGTTTTGCTTACAGTATAGAAATTAGTTCAAGTCAAATAATGTGAGTCATAAAAAGAAAGGTATAAATGAAAAACTCTCTGTTTACTAGTGTAACTGTTTGTTGTCTTTGAGCATGTAGAATGAGGCCCATCTTTTGTCGGGGGGAAAGGGAATATGTTTATCGTCAGAGTTGCTTTCATTATTGAACCGTGATTCCAATAGAAATCACTTTCTCTTTTCCCTGATCTAAGCTGACAGGACGAGATGGCACTGAGTGCATCCTGCATTGTGGCAAAGCTGTCACTTCATTTTTCCTTCAGTAAACGACTGAAGGGGTTCGGATGCTGTTCCACACTGCCTGTCATACTCTGGAGATGAAATGGTAGACGGAGGGAGAAAATGATGCAACTGTGCCACCTTCTACTGTAGGGTATGTTTGTTTTTACAAAAGAAGGATAAATCAGGGGCAAAATAATTGGATAGGAAAATGTTGCTGCAGCTTTATGGGCCCTGAGATATAATGAAACATCCACAGTGGCACACAGGAGCTCGGCTGGATTATGAGGTTTCCAATAAGGATACCAGCAGTGTGGCATGTACTGTGGTTGGAGAAGCTGCTGCAGGGGGAGGCTTTTTGTATTCCATTACTGCAGGATTCTGGGCTGCAAAACATGCCATGTCTTTAGAGTATATGCACAACAGAACTTTAATTTCACACAAGTAGAAACGGGTTGTGTACAAATACAAAGAGACTCTGATTAGAAGCTGATTCTGTTTCTGTGTTCTGCCTTTGCAATCACTGCACTGGTCCCGAGGTTATGTAATGGTTAATTCAGAGAATAATTCAGATGAAGGGGAAGGCTTTTTAAATATCCACCACTCTTTCTGAAGGTGTTCAGAAATCTATATAAAGCGTTCTTTTTTATGTTGGAGTAAAGCATGTTTTTCTTCGTCACAGTCCCACTCTTCGATGGTTCAATGAC